ACCGTTTGGTGTGTCTATTAAGGAGGTACAGCAGTCAGTCTGTTGTGCATCCGTCACTGGTGGTGCATTGCCATTTGAGAGCGAGATACCCATACTGTTCTCTGGAGGAAATCTTGGTCTCGTAGACAAACTCCTATTCACTTAGTGTGAGGTCTGTATGTCACTCACCATAAAGCCTGAGAGCAAATGTGCAGGGTTTTTTCCAGAATTAGTTTTTTATTCTCCAGTAAATGCAGGGTAGAGATGGTGGCATTCCATTTTTCCCATTTAGTTTTGTTTGCAAAAAGCACCATATGTGCCAAGTAATGTTGCCTTGGCTTGTTCTGCCAACTGAGAACTCTGGTTGGCTAAACATCTTTCTGCTAGAAAACTGGATAATTAGATTGTTTTATTTTAAAGGTAATTTGTAATTTCTTCTAGAAAAAGCCTGCTTTCCTCTTATGATAGCTTATCTTTTTGTTAGTGCTTTGAGTTTGTTATTGTTTGCTACCTTCATTAAACTTACTGCAGAAATGATTGCTGCAATCCACAAAAAAGAAAAAACAATTTTCTGGTTAAAAGCCAGGCAGTGAGTGTGAATCTCACAACAGACATAATCCGATAGTATATTCTTTCTTTTCAATTAGATCTCTAGACACTAGCTAAAATTTCTATTCTACTGTATCTATAGTTGTGCTTTTTCCTTTATAGTTATGTTTTTTTCTTTATTTCTCTGTGTTTTTATATGTCCTACTATTTACTGCTCCCTTGTTTCCTCCTTTATATAAACAAAAGTATTTTATTGTAAATCATTACTGTTACCTCCACAGGTATCTTTCCTGACAAGTCATATATTCTTCTTTGTTCCTTCAAATGTTTTCACCTTGCCATTCTCAAATTATATCTTAATTTACTTATCTTTGAATGTAATCTCATCTAAAAGTCTTGATTTTGTTCCTCTTCTAGCTGGGGATCTTTAACCTTAACTGTCTAGTTTCTGTTGCACAACGAGATTTTCATAGCTGGATACAGCAGTGTGTTGTGTACTCCAATACATCTTCAGATGTTTTCTGGTTTCTTTTTAGTGCTTTGCTGTGCGATCCCTGGGCTGGGTAGAAATGGCAGAAGAAGATCTGGCTCCTGGAAAAAGCAGTGTTGCTGTGAACAACTGCATCAGACAGCTCTCTTACTGTAAAAACGACATCAGAGACACTGTTGGCATTTGGGGAGAGGTAAGAACAGGGTGAACTACTTCTCTTGGAACATTCCTCTCATGTCAAAAACATCTTGAAAGAACAACTCTGTAGGCAAATATGTCTATGCTCTGTGTCTGGGACTTCCCTATCCCAGCTGGCACTGCCAAGAAATGTAAAAGGGCTCAAGAAAAGTGCTGCTGTTTTTGTTCTAAACTCATCAGGACAGCAGCCACAAAGATCTCACCTTCATGTTTTTGTCCCTGCTGGTATACACCTCTGGAATGACAGTGTTGGAGTCACCCAAGCCAAAATCAGTGGAGTCTTTGTCCTGACCAAAGGTTTGAAAGCGGTGCTTTGGAAAAGCATTTTCAGAGGTTTCAGAGACAAAAGGGCTTTAAGGAAACCCAGACTGGTGTGGCCTGTGCTTTTGAAATGTATGTGAAGACAGAGACAGATGGACGGATGCCGTATTTTACGATGATTATTTATCAGTGTTGCAGAAGGAAATTAATTCCATGTCATCAGTCTCTCTGTTGGTTCCTCTCCAGTAACTCTTGAATCTGTTCACCAGTGCCATCCAGTTTTGAAGGATGCCAGATTCTCACACATTGAGGGAAAAAGAGAGCCCAGCTCTCCTCTTTCTTGGTTTGTTGATGGGTCGGTGCACCTTCATCAACTGAACCATGCAAGATCTGTGCTTCTTTCTGAGTTGGCAGGAAAGACAGGATAATGCTGTGTGAGCTCAGAGGGAAACATGATGGAGGAAGCTTGAGGTATTGTGGTGTCAGAAATAGGTGTCTAAAATTGATGGAGTGGAAGGTGTGAAGGGATCAGTCAGTGAAACAGGAAGAAAGAAAAAGGTAGGGTTATAGTGGTGGGACGTCTAGGTGACATAGGACACAAATCCATAGAAAAGTATCATTATTCAATTGTTCATGGAACAACTTAAACTTCATCCAAATCTTATTCTCCACCTCTCTCCTGACATGTTTTCATGAGGTTACACTAATGTGGATTTACTACACACAATCTGAATGCCAAAGTGACGTTAGAGTGAATGTTGGAACCTTCACTTGTGTGATCTAAGAGAAACAGCACTGCCAAACAGAAGAGGAATTAAAAGAAAGACTTACCTATTTCAGTAAAAATTTTATGAGAAATATCCTTCAGTATCCCAAGTTACTGTTGCAGTCCAAGGCTTGAGTCAGTGTCCTGGCTACAGCCACAACAGTGCAGAGACGCTTCAGAGAAGCAACTGGGAGAAAGTGCCTGTTTAAAAATTAGAACTGTGTTTTGAGGAACACATTTAGAGTGTCTGTTTAAAGTAATTTCAGAAGGGGTTTTCTATGTAAGAAATACGTATTGTACATATAAATGAATAAGATAACATTGGTCTCCTTTTTCTTCTGGGAACAGTTCTATTTAGTTAATACAGCTAGACAAGCAATTAGAGATGTGTCGGTCATGGACTTTGGACTTACTGCTGACACTGGGTTGAAAATACCCAATGTCTTTTACATGTGTGTAATCCCATCCATTTTTCAGATGACAGAACTTTGATCAACTTGAAATATACTTTTTACTTCAACATTGTGTGCTTTGTTTTGGTTTAAGAGTTAATGTTCACATTCTTCCATATTTCTTGCTGTCAGTCACATTGTTCTGTGTTGGAAACCCTCTCAGGTTTTCAAGCCAAAGTGGTGAAAAGTTTTGGTATTCTTGAATGAAAGTTTAATTAAGAATGTATTCATAAAAAAATATAAAAAATAGGCCTGACAAAACAATGAGGCACTGTGCTTGGATAGGTGGCCCCTGAAGTGTATTGTCTTCTTGATTTTTAAAAGAAATCATTACAACCAACCACGTTTTTCTGCTGGCAGTGTAATGCTTCAAGAGTGATTGGAAGAGACGTATTTTAGAGAGGAACCTGAAAAAAGTGTGCTTGTCACTGATGTAGCAAATGCAGCACATACAGCAGG